CTCCTTGCTACCCCTGGATCAATTTGTTGTGCAATCTCCATTGTGCGAAGTTTTTCCATGGGAGGCGAGTGTCGAGACTGAGGATTGGTCCGTACTTTCAGGTGACCCGCTGGTACCCCAACCCACTTGGCAGACCCAATGTTATGGCTGTGAGAGCAGGTTCAGGATGTTTGCAGGAAGCCATCACTGCAGGTATGTACTGAGGGTGGCGAAGCTTCAGAAGCTCAGACCTTCAGTCACCACCTCTGTCCATTGACCTCTGCCGTCCGTCTAGATGAGGTTAAAAGAGAAGTGCACTCTGTTTACACCCGCCCCCTCCTCTGTTCAGACCGACTTTATGTGTCCTGAATTCAGCCAGACTTTAGGCCGAGGCAGCGTGTGAGTCCACTCTGCAGTTTAATGACTCTTGCGTTTAGATCCTAAGTGATCTTTATGCGGATGGATTGGACTTCCTCTACACAGACTTGTGGCTTAGCTTTTCTGCAGACCGGAACACAAAAGTGTACTGCCGATTACTGAGTTGCAAATTCTTAATAATATTAATTTTCTTGCAGATTTCTCTATTTTTTTCAGCCTGCTCTTGACTTATTACTGCAATCATGCTTAAGACAATCAAACCTGTCCTTAATATGTTTTAAATGTCCACTAAAACCCATTTTAATTCAAAGTGTGTCCCTTATTTTCTTTATTTAAAGACAAACTTAAGAAATGGTCAGAATTTATGCAGCAGAGGCCGAGATATTCTGACTTCTAGGGCCCTACTATGAGTCCAAAACTGCTGAATCCTACATTCCTCGGGGGGGCGGGGGGGGGGGGTGAGGGGGACTCCTACAGCGTCCGGACTGCAGAAATATCTTCTTTTTTTGGGCTGAAATCGTTAAAACCTTCTCATGAATAAAATACCGCTTCTCTTGTTATAAATGGTGATAATATCTCTGTATTTTGGATGCATCAGCCAGCAGGAACCAGTCCGCCCATCGAGAAGAACAAACCAGTGCGACTTCTGATGGAAGTCGGTGATGGAGAGCCCCCGTTTGGCATAACGTGGGGGGAAAAAGGCTTCTCACAAAGTCTCAGAATCTGTTGTCCCTTTTGCCCCCGGAGGTCAAACCAACGTCGGCTGAGGGGAGCAGAAAGACGCTTGCGATGTAAAGGTGCACCGCTCCGTCTTCGTGCCGTCGGCACCAAGCGACTCGTCTGTTGACCGCCAGGAACGCGGAAATCAGAGGGATAATAGAGGAATATTAAACGCGATTCAAAGGATACACAGTGTACACAAATGAGTGCGTGGGTGTGTAGAGGCGTGAGTCGACACGTGAAGCGCGTTTTCTATTAAAAAATAAAACGGAAAAGAGAAAACTAGAGGCGTCATCACATAAATATTTCATCACGGGGAGGAAATTGCTGTTGCTCTTTTCATATAGTCTGACCAACTGCTGTATATAAAACATTCTCATTACGTCGTACAAGGCAACCTTCCTGAATCAGTTCCTTCAATCGATTCCTCTCTTCATCATTTCGGGGGAAAATCACTCCTTTGATAAAAGGCTAATTTGAGTCATGTGGTGCCAATTCTTTAACGCCGACATCACAGCTTCCAAGGAGATTAATGGTACCAAAGCACGAGGCCGGGCCTCCATCGCGATGAGAAAAAGCCCGGGGAGCCCAGAGCAATGTCACCTTGGCGACACGGGGGGGCGGGGGGGGGGCGCAGGGATTGGTCGGGTGTCTAATTGCGCCGCGTGCTTCTTTTGTTCTCCTTCGCGCCGTCCTTCCCCTCGGGTACCGCCGGGGGGGGGGGGCGCCACTCGCCGACCGACCCACCAATGATAAGAGGCCCAACGCGGGCCGCGAGACCCGCACGGGGGGCTCCGACCGCGGGCGTGCACGCGGGCCGAGACGCCGGACCCATGGGAGGGAATCGGCCCGGACGGAGGCGATGGAGAGGAACGGCGTATCCACCCGTAATGAAAGAAAGGAGGCAAAGGAGGACGTGACTAAAGCACCGGCACCGGCAATTTGCCTTATCTAGTCCGACAGGCCCCCCGAGTGCGTGCGTGAGAGATGGAGATGGCTTTTCGCTCGGGTCTTTTGCCACAAAAAAGTCCTCTGATGTTTGAAGTGGTGAGAAAATGGAGCAGGAGACACAACAAAGAGAGATAGCAAATGTCTGGAGCCAAATCCGCCGCGCAGCCGCGGAGGGCCGCCGCCCGCTGACGCGCCGGGTGAGGACATTAGTCAAGGTTTTACAGCATGAAAGAATCAATACTGCAGCAGCAATGAAGGCAAACAGTGATATTTGGATTCATCTTCACGCCGGCACGAGGATATCGAACCGCATTCCTGGCCCCAAAGCCCGCGTGGGCCATAAATCTCAAATGTCAAAAAGTGGCTGGATGGGAGACCGAGTGATTCCGCTTGGATTACTAAACGCGAGGGGCGGGGGGGGGGACAAAAGACGGCGCCGGCTCCCGACCCCCTGGACTGAAAGCCACCGCGTGAGGACAGGGAGGGAGAGATGGGATTACAGACGGGCGTAATGATGCTTCCACGTGGACCAGCACACCGACAGAGTCACTGACAGAGACATTTCACAGTGCGCAGGAGCTCGCTGTCTTCGGCTTGAAGCTGATGGGATTAAACAGATTGATTAAAGCTCCCGTCAGACACCGGTTACATGAAACTAACTATTTATGAATCCTCCAAATTTAGTTAGACCCTGTGATGTATTTGTGGAGGGGCGCTGTGATTGGAGAAGCAAAAAAAAACAGGCTTTCGGGAGGAAAGAACTTGACACCATCTGGTTGTTTGTTTCACTCCTGTCATCAGTGTTTCCGCGTGAAAGCGAAACGCTTGCACACGCCCATTTTCCACGAGGCCGTGGCGTCCGATTTCAATCCAGACGCGCGGCTCTGTCTGACGAAGTGCATTTGCATATCACACGGGGGGCTGCGTGTATCTGTTGATCTCACAACGACTCCGAGCGCGATGCTGCCGGAGTGGAAGACGGGGCGGGATGAAACGCCGACGCCCCGGCAGCAGTCAGGCCGCAGGCACGTTTCGGCGTTCTCACAGAACCGCCTGTTTTTGGATCGCTTGACAGATTGGGTTTTTGGAATCGGGCCCTCGTGATTTGGTCCTTTAATGTTGAACAAAGTGAAGCGAACACTCGGCTGCAGAAACTGCTTCTCTTGACGGGTTTTTATCCCGACCCGCATCCGACAAAAGACAGCCCGTGTAATCTCGGAGATGCGAGAAGACGGTTACACGTGTACCGAGTACATGGACGATGTGGCTGCGTAAACCCACCCAGCGTTGGTGGGATGAGTGGGGTCGCATGCGAGACGCTGTGAAGCGGCTGAATTCGAGGCGCGGGCTGTGTGAGTTTACACAATCGGTACTTCTTAGGAAACACACCTCCTCCCGCTGCCAAAATACCTGCGAGGGGAAATACCGCGGGACGTTTAATTTTAGCGCGATGATCCGACCGTGGCTAAAGGCAGATATGTCACGTAGAGGATGTGGAAGGAGTCCATTTAAAGACAAACACACATGGGGGAGAATCGGTCAGCTTGGCCCGCTTGTATTTTCTCCGATGCGTTGATGCCTGATGGCAGGAGAGATTATGAGAATTATGATTCAACGTCAGCGGCGAGGAATAAATAGTTTGACTAAAAAACATTCTATTTTCATGCACAATTGACCACACAAACACTTTAATAATGTGCTGTTTAACAAGTGACCCTCATTAACCTCGTTACCCTCACCGGACCTTCTGGTGGTGCTTCATAAATTATACTATTTACATAGTTATGTATTTGCACTGGGGTGATAAATACATTTTAGGATCATTTTATATTGTGTCCTTCAGTAACCAAGACAATGCAGCTAATCTTTGATTAGCAGGAGTTTGTAAAAAAAAAAAAAAAAAAAATGAAAAGTCTCCAAAGCACAGAATCCAAATGACAGGTGGCTTCCTGTCGCTGCGCATGCGACTGCTGACTGCAGACCTGATGAAAGTCTCGCTGGATTTGCAAATGTTTGCCGCTCTTTGACGAGATGATTCTTTCTTCAGCAATCAGAAGAGGTTGACAGTCCTCCCGGTCAGGTGACCAGTGGCGTCGGTGGGCGGGCTGGTCAGAGGAGGAGAAGCTGGGGCCAAAGATTACCAGAATGTTTTGGAAGAATGTTAATACTGGTATTATTGCATAAGAGGTCTTTAGGGGACATTTATATATATATATATATATATATATATATATATATATATATATATATATATATATATATATATATATATATGTATAATCATTGATCTGCTGATGGCTCAACATGATGGAAGACGTTACACGTTCATGCCAACATGCCACACTGTTCTCCTCAAGGACACACTCCCATTCGCTGCCAACTGAATGCCATTTTAAAACCCAACCAGCAGGCAGACAAACAAGCAAAACCCTGGATCACAAACTCTGGACACTGTGAGGACTGAGGAAGAATCTCGTCTTATTTCATATTGTAGAGATGAAAGGGACACAAATCTTGTTGGACCGGTGGAACAACGGCGGTGAGCTGGAGCAGATTTCATGTAAAAACCTGGCAAAGTGACAGCGCACAACGCCTGAGGCGCCTCTCCTTATAACAGCTGACATATTACAGCTGCAAACAGATGTGGCGCAGCGCAGAATCCAGCAGATTACACAATGTGACCCCGCGATGACGACTTCTGCTGCACCCGATGCGTGTTTTCCGAGACGCTGAGCGCGTTTCACGCTCCCCGAGTCATGTGCAGCAGCCTCGACAAAGACAAACTCCTGTCCGTTCACTGCACTCGCCGATTAAAGCCGCTCTGATTGATGACAGTGCGAGAAATTAATTTAGTTTGCAGAATTAATGAGAGAATTAAACCCGACGCCTGTTCATCAATAGCGCGAGCCTCCGCGCGCAGCCGACGGCCCCGTCTCCTTCCCGAAATAGCCGCGTTTCGTGGAACGCCGGCGAGCGCCGCACCCTGCTGACTTATTCACTGATTTATTCTGCCATTACTGTGAACGATCGGCCCCTTCAAAACTCTTCTATTATCCCCCCGATGGGACGACGAACCATATTTCATTTTGATTCAAGTCTTTATCGCGGTGATTCGGGGGGGTAAAGACCACCTGCCGGTAACGCTGAGAGGCCGCCTATCTCTGCCCCGCGCGCAGGGCGGCGTCTCCTTACCGCTCTGAACGTCCAGCACGTGGTGCTTGTTTAACATCCACCCTCCCATGTTGGAGGCATCCAGTTCGTAGCCTTGCAGCGCCGCCGTCCTCTTCTCCCAGAGCACCACGTCGAGGCAGGACTCGTATTCGTATCCCACGGACACTGAAAGAGACGAAGGCAGAGGCCTGCGGTGAGCGAGGTGGCCGCCGCCTCACCTGACACTTAATGAGGCGTCCTGCGCACGCCGAGGGTCGCTGGGCCTGTGGGGGTTCCCGCGTCTCGTCTGCACTTTCATGGATTTCATGCTCCTTCCTCTCATTTGTTTCATCTTGTGCAAATAGGAAACAACGTGAAGCGGCCGGAATTATTGCGAAGGGCAGAAGTGGAGAATATGACAGTAAATACCCTCCTGCACGTGCTGCAGCAACACTGCGAGTTCTTCGCTAAAATCTCATCTAAAAACATTTTAAAAAACTGCAAAACATTACATTACAAGTTCTACTGGACACATCTGCACAACGTATATTTGATTAATTAAATATTTAATTTAATACACAAGTAACACATCGGTGAAATATTGCGAATTTGTTTTAATTCAAGCTTCTATTTTTCTTTTCTTGCGAACCTCTTCTTTGTTTCTCTGTTTATTTTTTAAATTTCTTTATATTGTACGATAACAATCAAGATGACGGCAAACATAGAAGATATTCCATCACGTATGATCCCATCAAATGATCCAGTTATTTCTGATGCTGCATGTGCTTCCCGTATTGCTATTCTAGTCCGTGCTTTGCTGCTGGAACATCTCACATGCAAATATGCAGCGCCGGCGGGGGGTATTTCAGCACTTCACACCACCTGCTAAATCTTTATTGCACATGGCAACAAAAGCAGTTCCCGGTTAAATAATCCTCAATTTAGAAAGAACTGAACAAAATCAATCTTGCAAAGTTCACCCAAGGTTCACAGCCTGCAGGCGGCGTGAGTAAGTGAGCGAGCCTCCGCCTCCACGACACGCTCCCAGCGTGGTACTCACCCACAGCCTCCGCCAGGCCAAAGACCTTCTGATTGTAGGCGTCGGTTTTGTCCCAGATGAAGGTGTACGAGAGGTCGGGGAAGGCCGGGAACGACTTCTGGAACTGACGGCCCATGACGGCCACCATGAGGTGGACCTTCATCAGGCCGAAGGGGAGGCGCTCGTGGGTCAGGAGCACCTTGAGGATGGGCTTGTAGCCAGCTGCCCTGGAACTCAGGTAGACCAGGTTGAGGTCACTGCCCGGTATGGCGACTTGCTCATGGAGGACCTGCGGTTTAAATCAGCAGTCAGACTCAAGTAGCACGAGCAACAAGTTGGCTGCTATTTCACGCAGAAGATAATTCTCGGTACAAAATGCAATATATTTAGATGATGTGATGATAACATACTGCTCTTCCTCATGTTGGTTTTGCTGTTATCACTCAGTAATTAAACATATGCATAAGATACACAGGCTAATTAATCATATATATTCTACGCTGTACAGTTTAAAATAATACAAACTACTTCTTACTTAAACAAAACCACAGTACATACGTCCAAGTGAATATTAAGGTCAATAACTAACCCTTCATTATACGAGCATATTGAGTCATTTCAGAGCCCGTGGATTTCTAATAATTGAGTCTTGCTGCTTTGACCAGGTTTCCTCTCAAACTGCCACTGAAGAATAGACATTTTATTTCCCTCCTCGAATGTAATACAGATCTTTTTTGTTCTAAACGATTTGGGGGCTGCGGAGCCATATTCTGTATTCAGAGATTTTCAACTCTGATTTGAGCCAAATGGATATAAACCAAACCCTGAGGCGTGGAAACCTCCACGCAATGCGCCCTGAGAATCTATCAGCATTACAGACAATTTACGGCTGAGTATTTGGGGAGACGCCTCAGTTCGATCGAAGCTCAAAGGCAAATCTGACTGTTTGAAATGAGCGGCGAGGCCGCGGCAGCAGGACGATAACAGCGTGTTCTCAATACCGCCGCGCGTTACGTGGTCAGGGGTCGACTTATTAAGGACATCCGAACAGTGAGATACCAGCGCACACGCGGGACCCCCTGACCTGTGTCTCGGGGATGACGGGACTGTCCTCTGGGGACGTCTTGTACAGCGTGGAGAGGGGCGTGGCCAGGATGAGGGGGTTGGGCCGGGCCAGGCCAGTCAGGTAGCAGCCGGGGATGTCGTTCTGCTCCCGCTTCATCACCACCGTGTCCATCACGTGGAACACGTTCCAGGGCAGCCACACCGTGCGCTGCAGCGCGGGGAAGGGGGCGCGCTCGTAGCTCAGCGTCAGGGAAGCGCCGCCGTTGGCCAGCAGGTCGAACCTTCACAGGACACCGTGGACACAAAAGTGTGCCGCTGAATGAATTCCATGGATGTGGGAACGTGGTGAGAATGAAAAGTTTCACATCGCTTCCTCTTGATCTGACATCTTTTCATCAACTTTATTTCTGAAAGCAATGACGGCAGTAACTTCGGAAAACGGGCCTCTGGCTGTAAAGAAAGTATTTATTTAAGGACTAAGTCTGAAAATCCTTTCTCAAAAGAAAAGAGGACTTTTTAAAAATTGAAGTGCATTCATTTTTCCCAGCCTCCGTGCATATTATCATCAGTCACTGAATCAAATCGATGGCTTGTGTTTAACCGGGCGTGCTGCGAGAAGACACTGTGTGGTTGAATGTGGTTTTGGGGCTTCGGGAGTGAACTGGTTCTAATTAGCACGACGTTACTCTGGGAAAAGTTACTGGTTTGGAAATAAAGGGCGAGTCTTTGAAGTGCCGCTCTCTAAATTCTGCGAGCTCCACCACCCGGGGGTGTGGGGGGGGGGGGGGGGGGGGGGGTGACGCATCTGTCTGGTGACATTGCTCGCGTTCACATGCACAAAGACACACACACGCACACACACACGCGCGCGCCAACAGCCAAGCTGTGCAGCTGACCTCAAACAGCTTCCTTCTCAAGCTCTCTCCACTTTGGGCAGTGGGGAGCTCACAGCTGCAAGAGGCCAGGCTTTGATGCTTGCCCCCCCCCCCCTCCTCCCCTCCTCCCCCTCCTCCCCTTCTTAACTCCGCTGAGCGGATCTGTTGGCTAACCAAGTGTGATTATCCCCAGCCATTTATCAAGCTCCTTGTCAGAAGGGTTACGGGGGCGGAATATCTGAAGAAATCAGCTAATCCTCGGCTATCCGGCGACCCGAGGATTGTGCTTCGCGACAACAGCTGCGCAATTCGGTGCCACTTACGGGACTTTTATTCCACACACTGGCGACGCGGAGACGCGTGACCTCCAGCCGCGCAATGTGAATGAAAGGCCGCCGCGTGCTATCTCCGGCGGCCATCGCCAAAATAAAGCTCCAGCCGGAGATGAACCCCCCCGTAGAAGAGGACGCGCTCGGGCCCGGTTCGCGTTGCCGTCGGTAAGGAGCCGTCGGCTCGTGCAGCAGGAGAAGGTCAGACAGTAATCCCATGTTTTACTAGGCTGCAGGCGGATTGATTCTACCCTCGCCGATTCAATGCATTTTAAACAGCCTGGTTCAAAATGGCCACCACCACTGTGACATTTGCATGAGGAATCGTTCCAGGGCACAATGTGCTGCGCTTTCTATTTGTTTTCCAGCGCTTCTTTTTTTTTTTTTTTGGTTTGTTTTCTTGGGATAACTGCCAGGACGACTCTCGCACTGTAGGACAGATTGTCCCGCATTTTTTCCACGCTGGTCTGGGGACACCACTCCAAGCCGCGAATAAATAGTTGCAAGGGGCAAACGGCTGCACCTCCGAGGGGAGGGGGGGGGGCGGATTTCTCCAGAGAGCGACAGAGCGGCCGTGTTTGTTTGAACATGTAAATCAGTGGTGATGAAGGCACAGAGCGTCTCTCCCTTACATGCCGTCCTGCCGCGTGACGGTGTATCCGTAGTCGGGGTAGCGCGGAAAGGACACGTTGACTCCGATCAGCGGCGTCCCGTCTCCGGTGAGGACCTGACCCCGGATGACCGACGCCAGGCTGTGCGGGTAAACAAACACAAAGAGGACAATTTGTGAGTATTTAGCCGACGAGGCTTTTACAGTTAGTAGGTCTGTAAAGTAAAGCCAACTTAGTCGGTGCACAATATCCAGCAAATGGCACTCAAATGAGATGAGCGGAATATCTACTCTGACCTCACGTGTGATCTCGAGGATGTAATTCAAGTGCTTTTACTTTAAAGAGCATGTTTTCCGTGTCGCACTCGGTGGTTGCGCTCGCTTGCTTGATACGTGCACGCGGGTAGCGCTGGTGATGAAAGATGATATGTCAAAAAGGATCGCGTCAGAAACAGCGGATCCTCTCTTCACGTGAGAAGTTGCAAAGCTCGGCGGCTGACGTGTCAAGAGGCCCTTTGAAGGAATTCAGAGGAACAAAATGCAACGCTGGAAGCAAACTGTCAAGGGACCAAATAAATGAAAAGGCAGGTGGCAAAAAGTGAAATACCGCAATCCGAAAGAGCGGCCACAGCGCTCCGGGAAGACGAAGTCATCAATTGTGCATATGTGGAAAGAGAAATCATTTCGGATACAAGAAACAGAAAATGTTCCGCAGTGAAAAGTGGTTTTAGGCAAATCTGGAGTCTGTGGCGAAAAAAACCTTTTCCCCTTTTTTAGAAAATAAATGCAGGCGAGGCTGCGTGAACAATAATCCTCTTTCCGATCAGTCTTTTGACGTATACACACACTTAGTGGCTGCGAGGGTTAAATGCTTCACTTGAGGGCACCTCTATGGTAGTTTGTCTAGCATTGGGGAGCATTACTCATTCACTTTGCTCACACACATTTTCCCTGCTGGCAAATGGATTTTCTCCTGGTCCAAAGCATCCCCGTCACTCGCCTTCTCCGATAATACTCGGGTTTTTTCTTTTTTTCTCTGCCGGTGTTTGCTTCATAAATCACAGCGGCGGGATTAAAACCACAGATATCCTGTGCAGTTATTCAACGTGACTGCAGGAGACTCAGGTAAAACGTGCCCGAGCACGGCTCCTTTGTGTGGAGTCATTTGTTCAGCCGGTCCTTTGTTTGATGGTAAAAAGGGTCGACAATGCGATTTTTCTCCATCAACGTTTAATTGTGCCCTTCTTCCCCACCGTAGAGACTCATTTCAAAAGGCTTCCCAGCGCATTCGTCACTGGTGGGCAAAGGATGTCTCATTTTGCCACTTTGTCCGCGGGTCATTACGTAAACGCGACCGGGCTGATCAACAGCTTTATCCTCTCGTATCCCCCCGGCGCTCAGAGCCCTGCACAACCGTCTCCGTCCTCCATTCAAGCCCACTTAAGAGCCGCACTTCCTTTCCCGCGTCTCGATTAATCTTTTGAGAGCATCGCTAGAAAAAAGCCAAACCCCTAAAACGGTCGCCAAGCCACACCGCCGGCTGAGACCCCAGAAGTGTAAATGCACGCATTCTATTCCGTCATTATCTCGCCGTGGAGCAACGCCGTCTGGAAGTTGTGCTCCGGCTCGGGGACTCAAACCGCAGCGCGCGTTTAGTCGTCCGAGTTTACTGCATCTGCACCTCCGGCGTTTACATGGCTCCCTGAAGCACGGCCTCCGTCACTCTGAGGTCTCTGAGGTCAACGCACTGATGCTGCTCTGGCTTTGTTCCAGTGCTATTTTTATAATGTATACTCTGCAAAAACTCTCAATACATTTTTCAGCCCATAACCTCAAACATGTGTGTCCATTCTTCTCCCTCATCCATTTCTTTCTAAGAAGTATTTAGTTTTTCTGCTCATTTTGTCAAATTATGCATGTTGCCGGGGCCCATAAAATCCATGATTCACTTTTGACTGAAACACTCCTACAAAGAGATAAAAAGGCAAATGAATATTTGCAGCTAGAGAGCTAATGCCACTATCAGACATGAAGTCGCCAGTAAGCTGAAGACAATGAGCAGGAGGATTACGGAGTCCCGTGCGGGGGGGGGGGGGCAGATTGCCTCATTCTATATTTTCACTAAAGCGCTATTTACATAAGGATTACTTTAAACCATTGGAGGAAATATTCCCGAAGCCTTCCGCTCACAGGCGGCAATCGTTTTCCTGCCCATCGGCCACAAAACAAAACGCCACTCCAAGTTTTTCGGAGGTTTTGGTGAAACATTGAACTCCGTCTCTCCGTCGGGTAAGAGATCGTCCTCCATCGTACCGAACTTTCAAACCGCTGAGGGAATCGGGCGGCCAGACTGCAAAAGTGTCAGCGTTAATAAAACACCAGAAGGTCACAGGTGTAATTAATGTCTTTAAAACCCCCTCCTGCGTTGAAGGAGAGGGAGCTGTGAGGGGGCCGCTGATGTCAGGGGTCATGATCAGGTCAACAGCTTCCAATTAGACAAAAGCCTTATCGCCATTTGTGGTGATTATATCAGAGGGAACATTTTATTCGCTTCACGCTTCAACTCTCACGGCTGATCGCTTTGTTGTTAGAGACAAATGAATCCACACATCTTGAAATTGATTCCCCCGTGTTTAATATTAAAGTACCATTGTGGGCTCTTTGCCGACTCGGAACCGGAGGAAAGCGTCTCGTTTAAGACCAACTGGGTTTCCGACGAACGTTGATATGCAGTAAAAATGTTCTTTTCTCCCCCGTCCGGCCTCCCGCTGAAAGAAATGAACGCATGTGGCAGCGACGCCGCTGCAAACACACGTGTCACAGTGGCGAGACGCGAGACTCTCCAAACGCAGGCGTCCCCCCCCGGCGAGCTCACCTGCTGTTGAACGGGTTCTCCCAGCCGATCACGTGACTGCCGCCGGGACCGATCAGAAAACCCACGCGCTCGTAGAAGCCCTTGGACAGGGGCCGGGGGCTTGAACTTTGACCCTGGCCGGCGACGGCAGCGGGGTCGGGCGAGCCGCGACAGTACGTCTGACCCTGGCAGGAGATCTGAGTGCAGCAGTCCGGGTCCATGCAGTCCACGAGTCCGTCTGGGAAAACAGGCGGGACGTTAAAGACAGACAGGCGGGGGGGGCGGGGCTTTGCTGACCTGCATGCATTACTGCACGCGGAGACTCACACGAAAGTATGAACTATTTCAAAGAATGTTACTTACTAAGAACCCCAGCGGTGTTTTAGTGTGTGTGTGTGTGCGTTATAGATAGATGTGTGTACACAGTCTCAACTCTGCATTGTTGATCTAGTGCGTTCAAGCGACATGCTGTTTAACAATCTGCTCTCTTACAGCATTTGCATATTCTTTCCCGGGATGTTTTGCGTGTGATTGATTCGTCGGCGGCGGGACCGCGCCAGGAGCGTCGCTCTGTTCGCTTCTAGCCTCACCTCCCTCGTTGTCCTTGCCGTCCGAGCAGAGCGTCTCGGTGGCCACGTCGCATCCCAGCCCCCTCCAGCCCGACTGGCAGATGCAGTGCCAGACGTTCTGGTCCAGGATGCACCTCCCGTTGTTGTTGCACAGCCCCGGGCAGCCGTCTGTCAACGCATCATGTACGTGTCAAGCCGGGAACGAGGGAAAAGACAGGAGCGAGGGAGGGAGGGGGGCATTTAGAGTGGACGGGGGGACAGAGACGATAGAAGACAGTACCGAGTGAACATACAGTACGATACACCTCTGACAGGACTCGGGATGTGGGAGGGGGGGGTGGGGGGGGTGGGGGAGGAGTTACTGTCGTTTCACATGAGCACGGCCACGCTGACGAAAGTCAAGCGTGGGATCGAGGGAGGAAGCAACCCGCTGAGCCTACTCAGGGTTCAAAGGTCAATCAGAGGCGTGGAGTCAAATCCCAGTTTTACAAATCGAACCAAGGAGAATTCCCCGTGAGTTCGGAGGACTTTCCGGGTGCATCTCGTCTTGTACAATGTTGCATTTGAATGAAGCGTTTAAGGGGTTAAAAAAAAAAAAAAAAAAGGCACAAATCCCATTTAAGAAGCAGGGAATCAGTCAGCGTCTCTAAGAAGTTCATTTCTTTTTCCCCAGAAAATCATTAGAGGAGGAGAAGCCTATTGCGGAAACACTCATGTGAAGTAATAGCAACATCAAAGGGAGTAAATGTGTAAATACGGGGGGGGGGGGGGGGGTGTGGGGTGGGGGGGTGTCAGGAGTCTCCACATTTACAAAGAACAGAGCACTTGCTGCCAAACCGCATTCCGTCTAGTGGAGGGTGGAGACAGGGAGCCGAAACACGACTAAACCACACCGGTTCGGGGCGTTTAATCTGGCAGACACAGGGAATTAAGACAGGGTGGGGGGGGTGGGTGAGGGAGGGGGGGGGTCTGTGTGAGACTGGTTGAGACGGACAGGAGATGAGGAGACATATCGGACGAGCGGGATCACAGCAGGAACATTATGATCGACTCGGACAAAGAACAGGTGTATAAACGCCGTGCTAGGAAAGACAAAGAGAGCAGGGAGGGATCGTCTCAGGCATTCTCTTTTAGGAGGTGGGATTCAGTAAATATGTGTGGGGGTAGTTGGCGGGGGTGGGGGGGTAGTGGTTCGATTTACCTTTATATCCTATCTTGACTGCTCCTATTACACAACCGAGGAAAGGGGAAACATTTGGAAAAGAAGATTACTTATCTCCCGGGTGGCAGAGCGCTGAGACCGACAAACACATTTACTTGTTGGAACTTGCAGGGGGGGGGCACAGAAAGCATCGCCGGCTTAAAGCTGATGCACCCGCCAGCGGGAAGTACTCGGTGCGCGCGAGATTATAGTTGGCTTTCGCTTCGTTTGTGGAGTTTCTGCTCTAATTTCAATCACAGTCGCCGTGGCGATTGAGCCGAATAGAATAATTCCAGGCCGGAGCGACAGGATATGACTGGAAAGTTCGCTTCCTTCTTCGTTAAGCGCGCAAAGGCGCTCCGTCTCAAGGGTGTAATTCTGAAAAGCAGAGTGAAAAGTGTCTTTACCTGATACTCTGGAATCCAGGGCTGCACATGCAAGCCGAGCGGGAGTCGGATAGAGAGAGATGGAAAGGAGGTATAAGTAGGAGTTAGGGCAGAGGAATGCAATCAGACAGAAAACAAGTCGGTTTGAGAGCAGGAGACCAAAGAGACACGAGAGCTGCAGGAGTTTAGCTGCAGTGAGAGCGTGACTTAGCGTGCAGACGTTACTAAAGCAGCACGGAAATGATGAGAATTATACATGCTCCCGGATTAGGAATCAGACTTTTCTCCTAAATCGCCCCCCTCAGACGGTGTTTGGACTCCTGTCCATAGGAACCGAGATGAATGAGACCGACCCCCCCCTGAGGCATTGTGAAATATCCATCTGCTGTGCTGAAGCAAAGAGGAAGGTGTCTCTCGTTGGGACCGACTCAACGCGTTCCCCTCTGTGCTCGTCGGGAGGTACGACGGCCCATTATGAACGCACGGCGAAGCGGAAATGCTCACACGCAACCTTTTCTTCTCTTTTCTCTGCAGCGTCACCGTCACCTCCGCTTCAGTGATTTCAACGGGGGCCCCGGTGGTGAACCGGCGTCACGCTGCATGCGGCGAGTGGAAAAAAAACGCCTCCAGCGGCGACAAGGCCGTCACAAAGGGCTCGGCCGGGCACACGGAACAGGATCTAGATGCCCGGCGACAAAAGCGACGGCCGAGGACGTCCTCCATTCGAGCGGCGGCCGTGTAACGCGATTAAAAGGCGCCTTGTGCAGATGGAGGTTATTCAGGGTCTGAGAGACTAAATAAGCTCCGGGTACAGGAAGAAAGAAAAGGGAAGAGGGACGATTTAAGGCCCGATTAATAAGACCAGGAATGTGACCCCCCCCCCCCCTGACGGCTTCCCTCCCTCCCCGATCCGGATGTACGGGCTCCGTGGGCCGCTCGCTGCTCGTGACAGGGCCGGTAAATACGTAATTAGGCCCGAACGGTTTGGAGAGCCAGATCTTTGCTTCACGGAGAACGCGCGTTGTCGGAGGGCTTGGAGATGACGCCGGGGGGGGCGGGAGGGGGGAGCTGTTTGATGCGGCGTGTCAGGGTTTAACGAGGGGGACCTTTGACAGCGGGCGCGGTGTCGAGGGAGTTTGAGTTAAAGGTCAATAGGAAGTGACATCTCAGGACTCATTATTCTCATTAATGTCAGGTGAAGCGCTGCCATTTCACAGAAATGATATTCCAAGGAGGCCTCGACGCGGCTCCGCGGCTCCCTACACACCTGCCCTTGACTCGCTAATACGGGAGCATCATTTCAGCAGTTCAGCAAGGTGAAATATCTAAATGGATGAAGGAAAAATTACGAAGTTGCTGTGGTGGGGGGGAGTGGAGAGGGGGGGTATTTCACAATGAAAAGACTTAACTTAATAGTGAAGCGTATCTTGCCAAAAAGCCAAAATATATCACAATTCTTTCTTTGTTGCAACGATGGGTTTTTACGGTTATTTAACATCAATTAACGTTTTTATACAATTTCTCATTTAACATCTAATTCAGCCGCTCTGGCTAACGAACTGGGAAGTTAGGAGCGACGCTTCCACAAGCGACGGCTGACACTCACAAGAAGTAATCACAAGCATTATTTAGTAAAAGGACAATATTTCCCTGTGAAATCTGTAAATGTGTCCGTGTGTGTGTGCGTCACCGCGGCTCACCGATGGTGCAGTGTTCACCCGTCCAGCCCTGGTGGCAGTCACACTTGCCCTCTCGGCACACTCCGTGGTCGATGCAGCGCGGGTGACAGTCCCTCTGCTCGCAGTCGGGCCCCGTCCAGCCCTCCTCGCAGTGACACGCGCCGCTGATGCACAAGCCGTGGGGGCCGCAGTCCACCACGCACACCTCTGTTGCAAAAGGGGGAAAAAAGGCAAAGCCGGAGAGTCCCGTCGCTTTTCTCAAAAGCTTCTTTTGGTGTTTTTATATTCTGTGACTTTAATGCGTTTGATTCTCTGGTAATTGTGTCGACTTGAGTGGTTCAACTGTAAGCAAGAGACTTTTTTTTTGAGGGACATCCTGTAACTGGTAATAAGGCTTAAAAATAAAAAATAAAAAGAGAAAAAATTAGCTGCACTGAAAATATTTCATCTCAAGGGCCTCGAGAGGGCCTTATATTACCGCCGTCTATGAAAGGGCATTTTAAGAGGCCAAAAAACGAGCACTTAACTGCTTCCTCTGACTTTACGGCGCTCACGCTGAGGAACATGAAGGCAACGCAAAATACAAAATGTGTTTTCAGGGATACACAGATACACGACACGCCAGGCGTATTGAAACAGGTCCCCGATCAACTGGCACTCTGCTGACATTTTGCGAATTATGCAACGAATAGTTGGGAAAGGATGAAAAATGTGAAATCGTCCAACACAAAACCGGGGAAATTAATCTTCATCCACATTGCGAATGTTTTGCCGCAACAACAAAGGCCCCTAAACTTGCAGTGGTTGACATTTAATTAGTAAACTGCGTGGTCCACAACAGCTGATTATAAAGCACATTCAGATGTAATGAGCGCCTGCTGGAATGAGCAACAACTTTAAACAGCAGGGTGAAAATAGACGCTGTGCTTGTGTCCGAATGGAGCCAGATGGACGATATCTGATTCAGTGTGCGACTTATTCATGTGAAATCCACTCGGCATCAAGCTCCGGAGGACCATTCCCTGTTCTCTCCGGAGCAGCGGCATTCAAATGATCGACGGGGCGGCGAGCAGATCAGCGCGGTGGCGGGCGTGAGCTCGCGCTCAACAAGCTGCTCCTGTGAGGGAACGAGGAACGCTCGTTTACCGGGGAAACCCGAGAGCTCGGATCAAAAGCTCCGGGAACAGAAGCGCCGTGAAAACTCTCCCGTTGGACGGCTGTCCTCGAATGCGAAGTGACTGGAGGAAGATGGAAACGCAGTTCGCCCCAGTAACCGAGAAGTTTGTACATTTTTAAAAAGGCCAAAAGTAATAATTCTGCGGCGTAAATGCAACCCGCCGCGCAGAAATGATCTGCTAACGTTGTTCATGAATCATTATTGCTTTTCTTCAAGCTTCATCCATCCCACTGTCTTGTACCGAGGCTCTCTTAGCATTCCGTCTCCAGCTCTCTGAATGGGAGTTTTTCTTCGATTGAGAGACCTTGGATGGTTCTGATTAAGTCAGGCCCACACTGCAGAATATTAAGCGTGCCTCCGGAGGGGAGTCATTTGATTCCAAAGGGATTCCTCCTTCCCATTGAATCTATGCAATCAATTTTTCATTAGTCCAAAAGTGTTTATCTGCCTTTAACATGCCCCTGACTCCAGCCGGAGAGGGGGGGTTGCGGGCGGTCGATACGTGCTACTCGCTTGTTAATTCAAATATATTTAATTGAAGAAGAACCGCGGCATTAATTAAGAGGGAACGCTCCAGCCGCCCAGGTGGGTAAACCTTAACATCTGGACCTGCTCAGCTCAGTCTGTTCTTGTATTGACAAGCCTGAGATGTCTTGCTGCATTGAGTCTGCAATGTTCTCCACAAAGGAAAATGAAAAAAAGGAGGAGCACAAAAGAAAAGGAAAAAGAAACGCTTTCCAAGCAAACAATTATTCCCTTTTGGGACGGAGAAAACCGGCCGCATGCCGCTTCAAACGCCCTGCGCGCGTACAGCATCAGCACCGTGCAGCCTCGTCCCGATTCCATTCTTCGATTGAATCGCAGCCAGAAGAAACGCATTTCAACATGCTTTCATGGTGACAGGAACAAACTGAAAACTTCCACTCAGTTGTGGCCGCCGCGTCTCGCCGCGGGCTCAGACCGCCGAGAAGGAGTCTGTTCCCGAGTAGGAGACGCCCGCATCGATCACCCGAAACCTCCCGCGCGGGTAACGGGTGGGAGGGGCCGACCTCTGAACCAGCGCGTGGCCTACCTGTGCCCGAAAGGACCTTGTGGACACCGAGCCGGGAGCAAACGAGGGAGCTCTGCAACCTGCAGACGAGAACACTCCTCCGATGAACCTCAAGCTGCAGTAAATAAATGTGCGAGTCTCGTTTTTTGAAGCAACACCCGTTTGTGTTGGACCTCACGGAGAGGAGTAACGTTCTGCAGAATCCATCCAAAGTGGAACTTTACTGGAGATGATTTAGGGGAGATGTTACCCGGAGCTCATAAACACAACAGTGACGGTGCTTTAAGCATGCACGCATAGCTCACGGGACGACAAACCTCCGTCGGGAGGGTGCCCATTCATCTTATTTTGGAGAAAATCCAGACTTTTCTATCAATAATTTTGTTTCCTTCAAGAATTTCATTCCGTAATGTGACATTCATTTTGGAAAACAAATGGCTCTCTGCTGTTCACTAAATTATATTCCAAAAACTGAGGTGATTAATAACTTTAAAATGTGATTTAAAAAAAAAAAAAAAAATCATTACAAGATTAAAGCATACATCTTATTTTCCGCCTTCTACAGTTTGTTGGAATTCAAGAGCTGATTAATGATTAAATAAAACTTTCTAAATGAGACACCCACATGTAGACAAAACGTGCTCAACTAGATTTTTTATTTTAACCTCCAGCTTGTTAATAAAGGCTCCAACATCTGCTGTTGTGGACACATGTTTTCTGCAATAAGTGTGTGTATGTGTGTGTGTGTGTGTGTGTGTGTGTGTGTGGGGGGGAGTGTGTGTGTGTGTGTGTGTGTGTGTGTGTGTGTGTGTGTGTGTGTGTGTGTGTGTGTGGGGGGGGGGGAGGTGCGTCCACTTTGAATAAATGTTGAGAGAATTTTGATGCCAAGAAGCATTACTAGAAAAAAGCATTGAAGCGAGTGGACTGTCTGGAGGGTTCTGCTGGAGCAAATATCACTGCGCTGATCAGATCAGATTACATCACTAGGTTGATTGTTCTGCCATTTCATCATTTAAAAACCAAGTCGAAAAGAGCTCGTCACTTTTCCCAATAAGCAAATAATTCCACAACAATATTAATAATCCCATTTCAGTTTCCGGGATCGACCGTTTCGATTTTTTTTAACCTATTTTCATACCAATTTTCATATTCAATGAACCGTTAATGAATGTAGTATTAGTTTTTCATTAACAGGACCAAAAAAAAAAGGTCATCTTCTTCACTTTGAGATTCTGTGGTTTTTTCATACATGATTGTTATCTTTACATTTTTGGGAGTTTGGGACGGAATAAGAGAAGATCCATCGTCCGTCGCTTTGTGACACGTCTCACAAAACAAACCGTACAAACGGTACAAACCGTCGGCAGGTCGACCAGTAACAGCTTCGTTTGGTGCGGTGAACTGACCGATGGAGCAGTCGGCGCCCGTCCAGTTGGCCTCGCAGACGCAGGTCCCCGAGTCGGTGTTGAAGGCGCCGTGGCTGGAGCACTGCTCCGGACAAGTGCTCTTCAGGATCTCGCAGCTGGCGCCCCCCCAGCCCGGGTTGCAGTGGCACTCGCCGTGGTGACAGGCCCCGTGGGCGGAGCACGCGGGGTCGGCGCAGTCCACTGAGGACGCACAAGACACGGCCTTGAGTTCACCGCTTCGTCGACAGGCCGCCGGCCCCGGCTGTCAACCCGCTGCCCCTCTGCCACCGGACAACCCCCCCCCCCCCCCCGGCCACTCCGAAGAGCTCCTGCGCCAGGTGACGGCTTCAGAGCCACGGGTGAGATCTTTTTTTTAAAATGTTTCTATTTAATGTGTTAAACGGTAGCCATTTTCCACTCAATGTTCTACGTCCTCAAAGTGATATTATAGGGTGCTTCCAATACCCTGACAACATAATTATGCTCCATTATAGGCACCAGGAACAAGGGTGCAATTAGTCTCAAAACATATATAATCAATTACTATTACCAATTTGCAGAATTACTTGATGATCTAGGTTGATAATTGGCAATTAAGACCCACGTAATCAACCCGGAGGGATAAGAGCAGCATTGTGCTGCAGCTGATCGCTCCGTGCGTCTCCGCCTGGACACCGATGTCGATTAACGAGCTCAAATCTACCAACGCGCCCCCCCCCCCGTCTACGTTCCCTCCCCCCACAGCCCCGATTCATTTAGTAAAGCCAACAGCCTTTACATGCGCGAGGTCGGCCGTGGCTCGCCGCCGGTGATCGTCTTTCAGAGATCAATGAGGTAAAATGAACTGGAGGCGAAAAGGACGAAGAACCACAGAAGAAGACGCTCTCGGGGGGGGGGGGGGGGCCACAATCTGCTCCGGCGCGCTCCCTCGTGTGGTCTAAACCCCCGAGAGGAAGTTCATTTGCACGCACGCCATCAATAACAACATCCAGAGCATTACCCGCTCGGCGGAGTTGGAAACAGGCGATTGTTTCCCCAATAGACTGTGTCGGCCCCCCTTTACCCCCCCACCCCTCTCCCCCAGAGCCCCACACGGAGCGGCGTTGCGTGTAGCTGCTTCCCGCCACGTTTACCTTGTTCACAGCCGGGTCCTTTGTGGCCGCTGTTGCACACGCAGTTGCCGGCCACGCACAGCCCGTGACCGCCGCACTGCGGGTCGATGCACTGCGAGGCGGGAACGTCGCACTCGGTGCCCTTCCAGCCGCTGTAGCACTGACAGCGCCCCCTGGTGTACTGGCCGTTACCGCTGCACAGGACCGGACAGGCGGCTGAGGAGAGACGACAGGCCTGGAGAACGTGCAGAACACAAGGCTGCATCTGAAAGCTCCTTTGATTAAATGCTGACTTCAGAGCTGCAGGATTTGTCTGTGAAGATGGTCGGCTGGTAAGCTTATTAAACCTTTTCACAACAAAACAATTTTTTATATGCTGCCAACTGCTTTTTGTGTTCATTTATACTTAATTCAGGCTACCAGGCGGAGCGCTCAGCGGCCGCTGGCTGGTTTAGTTCATCTACTCAATTACAGACATTTTCTTTCTCCCCATCAAGAGAACTGTTTCCTCGGCTTGTCACAGCCCCAAACCTCTCCGTCTTTTCATGTATTCCGACGTCTCCAAATCTATTGAACGGTGCCTCTGCTTTTGACCATTTTTTCTTTGTATTTTGTTTTTAACTTAATTTGTATTGTGGTTTTTACTATTTCACGTGCATGTATTTTATGGCTGTATTTTAGCTGCTGCTGCCTTCTTGGCCGGGTCGCCCTTGAAAATGAGATCTCGATCTCAATGGGGCTAAATAAAGGTTAAATAAAAAAAATAAAAAATAAAAGTTACATTCGAATTGTTTTGAAATAAAACAGACATTTCCAAAAAATCTAGGACAAGAGTCTGCATATCTGGATACAACCAGCGTCACCCTTCAAATAAGAACAGGAAGTAAGATCTGACCTCTGGAACAGTACGGCCCGATGAATCCTGGGAAGCAGTGACACGATCCGGCCACACACTCTCCGTTCCCATAGCAGTTGTGCGTGCACTCTGTCACAGACTCTGTGGGCACAACAGCGAGCAGGTTGCTATTAATAAAGCATCATCGCAACGCCAGCGCAAATCCCACATCAATACAACACTTGCAAGCGCACAGATTGATACTTACTGCCAGACAAGTAATGGATCAGCGCTTTTCACACAACCCTGGTGCAGTGCGGGTGTCATGTGTTCACTAAGGCTAAGCCTCCATAACGTGTGCGCCGCTGCCTGCGTCTTCCCGTGTAAGCTATGCTAAATAAAACCACACCGGCATTCTAAATTAGGCCAAATAATTCGCACATTTTGCTCCTCTTCCTGTCTGCTCCGCGCTCGCCCGCCACCCTCCAACGCCGTGAATGACTGATCATGCCCGAGCCATGCAATCTCCTGAGTGGTCATAGCTCAAATCCTCTTTGTTGAAGTTAATCTGACATATCCTAGAGACAGATCTTTTGTTCATTCAACAGACCATTGCTCATGAACTGCACCCCCAAAAGACCAGGATCCTCGTTTTTGATTGACGTTAAGAGGGCAAACTTTTTGGTTATTACTCTGACTGGCATTGGATGTTCATTGAGCCGGTGTCGGACCCGAGCAATTTTGACCTCACACATCGATCCCCTCATATTTGCACGGCGGGATCGATGGAAGTGCCCAAAGGAAATAGAAAAACGGTAACTCAGACCTTAGTGTTTTTCCCTCCCCCAAAACCCACAAGGAGATGTCACAGACTTCCGAGCGCTGCAGAGGAGGGTAGGGAAGGATCGATGCCCCGCGCTGGTATTGTCGTACCCTGGACGATGGCGTTGTAGGACACCGTCTCGGCGCTCCGTCCGTCGTTGTAGAACGCCAGGTGCCACACCCCCGAGTCCAGGTGCTGGATGAAGCCGGCCTGGTGGACGGCGACCGGATGATCCGGCCGGCTCCTCGGCTCCGGCTCACTCGGGGTCCGGTGCTCCTTGGCGATGAGCCGGCTGCCGTCCAACAGCTCCACAAAGTCGTACTGCGAGAGGTCACAGCAGACGCGGGCGATTGTTACTCGAGCGTTTGCGTGATTAAATCAGGCGTTCAAAAAGTTTGTATGGGATGTTGTGCATGCAGCTCGCCTGCCGATGTCCTCGACAGTCTGAGAGGAACTCTTCAAAGTCGTAATTAAAGACACAACCAGAAGAGGTTTGTGTACCCGGCAAATATTCCAATATAATAAATGTTGATTTTTCTGGCACAGTTATCTGGAGTTGATAGATGTTGTTTGGAGAGTTGTTTGTGTGCTGATGAAGCTGATATGGCTCTGGGGCTAATGCTCGAAAAATAATCTCAAAATATATTGTCAAGTCGGACAGGAGTGCACTTAGAGGCTCCGGCAGCGCGCTTAATAGAATCTGTTGAATTAACACTGCGCACGTTCTGTGTTGATGTGTTTACTTCGAATTCAGAGGTACTCACTGCTTGAGCTTCTGCACAAAATACAATCAAAAGCGTAAACAAAGTGAAAAGCTTCCTGCAAGGATTCTTTTAATTACATTTGATACAAAACGTCTTATATTGTTTGATTTATTTTAATCCTTTTGATACATAAAATATATGTATCCTTCCTGGGACTTCATATATCATCGAATTAGTTTATTCCGAGCAAATACGTCTTTTTTCCTTCTATACAGATGCACAATGTGCTCAATACACACGCGGTGTACGTACGGTAGACATAACTACGTGTCCCCGGCCGCGGCGGAGCAGCAAACGTTGATTCACGGGGTAAACAAGGAGTAACGAGTCGTCCCCGCCGAGCGCGCGTCGAGCCGAGTGGAGCACCTGCTCCACAAACCTGGAGCCGCTTCCGACGGAGGCCGCGGGGTCACAGAGCGCCGCCGCGGCGGGAGACAAGTGTCGCACGCGCCCCCGAACAGATGCAGGCGGAGGACCCCGGGCTAATGTTCCCGCCGGCTACGCGGACGCACTGAGCCGACGCGAGGCTCCGGGCGGAGGAGCCGGTGTGCTGCGGAGAGCGTGAAGCGTGCACAGAAGAGCTCGGGATTTAAACCCAATGATGAGGCTGTTTGCCGAGAGCTTTGATGGAGCGCTGAGCCTTTCGCTTCTGACGGATGCACAGCTGAGATGCTTTTTCTTCTAATTAGATCGCAGACTTCTACATTTTACAACAAGCAATCTAATTGAATTTGGATACATTTTACAAATAGCACCCTGAAAAAATGATAATCCAGAATATTGAAGGGAGAGAAAAGGGAAAGATATCAAGATAAGATGCATCCTCAGGGTGTCGAAAATATGAAACAATGTTCAACATGTTTTTATTCCATTAAAACCGGATGCACCCCCAAAGTGTGTCCTCTGCCGGCAAGGATGATTTTTCAATATGCAGTCGCATCCCGTGAAATATCTGCTGTGGAAATAATGCCTTTTCATCCCAAGTCTGGTTTCGACCTAAATCAGCAGCTCTCATCCGATTTGTTTTGCCTCTTTCAGGCCTTTGTATTGTGTGTTTCCGGCCCGTAATGAAATCACAACAACCAATTCCCAGAAGCATCAAACAGCAACAACAACAGACCCCGCATGCACTACCTGTCCGCCAGCAACTGGCAGGCGGACACGACTATCGGCCCACAGGTAACCACTCGCCTCTCAGGAGCCAGCAATCGTTTCCCAGGAGCTAAAAGCAGCAGAAATGTTGGACTGACATTCATCAGGTGCAAAGAGACAGACGTCCAGAATCGCCGTCTTCGGCAACTGCTGGCAGGACGGCTTAATAAGCCGGTCATGTGTCAGCGCTTCCCATCTGTCATCGTGTTATTGAGTTCTTTTCGTTGCCTACTGGCCCAAAAATTAATCATTCGATCGGCATCCAGCCTTAAAAACAGACAATGTACTGCTGGAAGTAAGTATGTGTAGTAAAGACAGGAGTCAATGCTGGGGAAACAAAACTGTGGATTAGACCCCTTTGAGTAAGGGGGGGGTTCAGGGATATTAACCTTGCGGAAGTGGACTTCTTTGTATCGGCTTGAGGGGCGGGAAGCAATAAAACATTTCATCCCACGAGTCCTAAACCTCCTGACCAAGTGAATACATCTCGCTTAGCCGATGTAAAGGGGGGGGGGACGTGGAGGCCCCCCCCCGGAGGGGGCCGAGGGGGAACGCTCAGCGCCTCCAGATTGAGCCGCCGACTGCAGTCTGGCACTTGGTGACAACAAACCCGAGTGGCGATTCTTAAGAAACGGACGAACAAAAGTTGTCTCCTTCTGAGCGCGTTCGGTTCGGCATCGGCCGACGCTCGATAAGCAGAAAGCAGCACGTCTGTGTTTGTGGGAAGTCGAAAAAAGCCGCTGCACTTAAATGTTTTCTTGTCTTCCCGAGCTGTGAGTGCGACGCGCAGTCGATACCTCTCATTGGGGTCTTTCATGCCCAGTTAAGTAAATGCATTGATTTCTTCCCCTGATCCCCAGAACACTGTGTGATTTAGAGGCGGCCACAATGGACACGGCGTCCAGCATTGACCAGCCTGAGTGTCTCTCCGCAACAATTGCTGGAGACATAAAAGCAGTGTGTTGTTAATTAGCGCCCTTCGCTCTGTGATTTTGTTTGGGCTTCTTTTTTTTTTTTTTTTTCACCTTGAAAAAGCAATCCGGCTCTGCTGTCGTCACTCACGTCGGACTTTCTCCCGTCAAAGAGTGGCCCCTAACTATCTCCACTTGAGTGAAGCCCATATTTACTGGGAGAGAATGTCAGGGAGGTGAAGCTAAGAGCTTTTGTAGTCAAGTGCGGTAGAAAATAACCATTGTCTGAGTGCTTCCATCACCGTCCCCCCCCCCCCCCCCCCCAGTGTGGATGTTGAAGGGGCCAAAAAATTAATGTTGACTTATATTTACCACGTGTTGGATACCCTTCGCGTTTCCAATGGCCCACACCTTCTAGGGAGTGAGGGACTTGCGATCCCCTCCACTCTCGGCCGGAATCGGGGCGAAATGGAGCTCCAGAGGAGAAAAGGCAACCGCAACCTTTGTACGGCCCCCTATTTGATTATCTAAACGCATACACAATTCAGAAAATGGGAATCCCTGGAAGACCATAGAAAATATGGACTCGATATTGAAGGCAGTCGGAGCTCTCACTTTAAGGGTGTACCCAAAATAATGTGAAAAGGGTCGAGTTTCCTGTCTCGTTACCTGCGTGTGAGACGGGGCGAGGCCCTTCCGTCCGTAGACGCCCACCAGCGCGTTCCGCTGCACCGAGATGTTAAACTTTAGGAATCGCGGTTGCTCCAGGCTCAGTTGAGTACGCCAGAAGACCCCCGGTGGGACGCTCTGAGCCGCCCTCTTCCCCACGTCCACCTGTCCCGAATCGATGGAGTTGTTCTCCGGATGGGGCACGCCGCTCCTTCCTAGAAGACAGAAACGTCCGCTCAGACGACGCCGTTTTTTTTATTGAATCCAAACGGCACAGTTTCAGGTGATGCGGTTTGGATCCAATCGTCACAGAAACATCAGATAAAACCTTCATGGGGGGCTTTTTGCCGGCCTTTGATATCCAGTCCAATCTTCTCCCTTTACTCAACTTAACAATAAGACAAGTCATATCTTTTTCCAAATGAGCAGTGGCCAAAAAAGACATGATTAAAAGTAATGGTTCCCCTGCGCTCCGTGTGGCACGGCTCACTGTAAAGAAAGAAGACCAGATATAATTGGCTTTTATAAGACTCTAACAGGCCACATCGCCCATCGTTTCTCTTGTCCTGATGACTCATAGAGTAAGGCCTCATCTCGGATAAGGTCTAAATAGAATCTGTCAGATACACTGAGCGCTACCTTCCCGAAGCAATAACAGCAAATCAAAACAACGCCGCGAATGACGTCCTTAAACTGTGTCCTTAAAGAGCCAAAGATGGAGAGCCGGCCAGGTTTATTATCGCCCGTGCTCGCGTGAAAAACGGCGGTCTGCAAGGTGCAATTACAGGAACAGATTACATTGTTAAGAAGAAAAATGTGGCCAGCTTCCTAAAGGCCTCGCGGTTAAAAGCTTCGCCGGAAGAAGGAACGCAAATGTGCTCTTTAGAATCCGCCGCTGCGTGGATGGCGCCGGGTCCTCCCGACTCCTGTGAGGCGGCTTTCAGTGTGCCTTCCGTCGCTCGCGTCCCTCAGCGCCGTGAGTCCGCGCATCCGAGGCCATCGCCTGTCACTTTAGCTCCTGTCAAGGCGAAGACTGGAAGCCAAGTTCGCCTCGGGGGAGAATGATAGCCGGCTATTGATTGCCTTTAAACAGTCCAAAACCTGCCTCGTGCCATCTTAATTAGCAGTACTTATGAGGATTTAAACCCAGCAGAGTTTAAACAATTGAGCTTTTGCCCGGCCCACTCGACTCCGTTAACGTTCCTGTGGCCGTGCATTCTGAGCGCCGCGCTGCGCTTGGAGATCCGTTTGGTGGCTTCTGCTGCAAAGGCGCCCGCTTGGTGTCGAATGCACAACAGCCCGAGATCATGATTACGGCCCAGCGGTCGATTAATATCCAGAAGGTGAAAGATCCCGATAAGGTGCACGGGCTGAATGGGCGTCACTCACCAGGCCAAAGGGTTCGCTGTCGCCATTTGTCTTTCTTAATCGCCGTCTGAACCTTTGCTTGATTTATTTCTCTTTGTGGTATTTAACCTTTTCTTAAGCTACCAGTTAATAACACGGGGCTTTATTTCCTTTAATTTACACATTTTAATTCCTCATGGAACTGGGCAACAGTTTATTATTTGTGAAAAGAATTATAAACATTGACCCTGATGAAAATATCGGAAAGAAGAATGGTAATCACCTCGAGCCGCATGCAAAGCCAACAAAAGAATAAACACTATAATTACTGTGCATTCAAATCGCACAGGCTTTCTTCTATGTTAATTAGTCATTTGGTGAGCGGTCGGTCTTGTATTTCCTCACCGTCAGCAGCCAGAGACGTCACGCCGCTGGACTGAGTGGGACCCGTCTTCCCAACTCCTCCGTTTTCAAAAGCCGGCTGGTTGTCCAACTCTTGGAGCTGCCAGTTGAGGCCGAAAAGGTGCATCGCTGCCAAAAAAAACACACACAAAAGAAGCCGTTTGGACTTAGCCGGATGACAAAAGAACCAAATGATGTGCACATAAACAGGCCATCGTTTCGAACACAAGGCGGCAAGAAAACAGTTTCACATTTCACAACATTTCGGTCGTTGCATTAGTGTTTGTTTGTGTTAACGGTGCACTGACAGAGGACAAAGTCATTCCAATCAATACTTAGGAACCCTGCTGCGCTCCCATGTTTCCTCGAGGAACACTGATCACTAATGGCGCCGCACACCAAAACGGCATCAAACTGAATTTACCGGATGCAGAACACAGAAAAGTGTCCAATACAAAGCAGGGAGGACGCAGAGACACAGCTATGCGTGCGCTGAGGAAGAAAGTGGAGGAAGAGGACGAAAGGAAGCGTCTTCTAAGAAGTGGCGAGTTCATTGAGAAAGACGCTCGCAGCAGGAGGAGGAAGTGGGAGGCCGCCGCAGAGCTCTTACTCAGCCAACCTGCTTTATTGTGTCAGTGTCGGAGGCAATCAAACTGTGTTCTTGTTGTTTTTTGGAAAGCGACGTGCGCCTGTGAGCACAGCGAGAGGCCCAATCTCCTTCAAAGCCACCGGCCGCAGAGCATGCCGAGGAAGCATCTTGATTTCCGACCGTTTGATCCGGCGGAAGAACTTTTCTCCAACACTTGCTGCAAGACGGATATTGACTGCAGCAGATAAGCAGAGAGGTGGATGTGGGGGCCGGAGAGGACGAACAACGTGAAGGAGACCAAAAGACAGATTGAATACCATTACGGATGGTTTATCAATGAGTGCTTTTCTTAACAAATAAGGTATTTGTTCCCGAACGCACACTGTGACTGGTGGCTCAAATGAACAGGGGCTCCCGAAGCCTCGAATTCCAATCAAATAATGCAGATTTAACAGCGGGTGATGATGTTTGGCGACACAATACATCCAGCAAGTGTCAGGCTGCATTTCCGATGCACGCCACAAGCGACACAAATGGATGCTGACTGGTCCTTCGATGCATCCGACAGGTCGGACTTCTCTCTCTCTCGACGGACTGGTCTCGACAGTTCCTCCCGACGCAAGAGCTTTGCACTTTGTTTCTTTTTGCTTCACACATATTCCCTCGTCAGTGCCATTTCCTGCTGTTATTGATACGGTTTAATTCATATTTCACCCGATTCAGACGTCTCAGCGTGTACAGACGGACAGAAGCGATGAGTTAGTGTTAGCTGCCAATAATCGCCAATAATTACATCAAATTGTACATTCACCTTGGCATGTGAAACTGTGATTCATATGGACTCCTTCAAAGTGACAATGACAATGCTAACATGTTACATTTCCCAGGCTCATGTTACATTACAGAAGGGGAAGATGAAAATTACATTTAGTTCTGCAGTTATTTGGTCATAAACTAAAAACTGAAACTTTGACCGAAGGACAATTCATGTTTGTAGAAAATTTCAACCAAAGATTGTCAATATATTCAATGTAACCTACACATGGCTCATATAACAAAGCCTCAATAAGTCAGAGCTTAAACAGCATCTCCACTGGCTTGGTTGCGGATTGTAGAATCTAGTGAATTTAACAAGATTAGTGCAGAGACTTGCGTCTCCCGGTGCCACCAAATTCCCCCAGCGTGTGTCGGTGGGCTCTTGGGTGTCGGACACAGCACAGAACCACCAAGATTCTTGCCCTCCAGGACCTGATCCCCCACTTACCTCATCAACAAATTGCTTTGAGGCGAATAAACCCTCAATTTAGGAATTTGCATAAACTACTCCTGCAGCCACGGCCAGTTCAATTCATATTTATGGACCATGGGCAATTATGTTCCCGGGCGCGAAGATGAGAAAGCTCTCTGAAATGGAAACGTGCCCCGTGGAACCTCTGCACCATGGATGGGAGGCTGGATGTCCTGTTGGTTTGATCCCTGACATCGCCGTGCCAGTTAGTGTACAGAAGCGCAAACCCGTCTGCACGGGGAAAAGGTCACATGAGCCTGAGATAATCCTCCTGGTGGCAGCAAACCCTCCCGTGTTCTTCTCGTGGTTCTTGGTGATGTGGTTACCTTAAGGAGACAGCGTTAATAATGATAGGGAGGAAATCGTGTCTCTCTTTAGTTGAGAAACCTACCAAGGAATTAAAAACACCAATGACTATTAAACCTCTTAAGTGCTTCCTGTTAAAATATGCAGAGGTTGCCATTGTGGTGGCCAAACCTCACCCAAAATAATTAGTCCATTTGCCATAGAGAGGAGGCGACCATCTGGAGCCACAGTGTGCCAACAACATCTTGGAGCGCAACAGCCTCAGAATGATGGAGATAAACATTGTTTTATGCTGGAACCTGCCTGCACATCTCCCCAGAAACACCCCCGGGGGACAGCTCCAAATAAGCCGCGAGGCAGTGAGCACGGCTAAGATCTTCCTGTTTTCTAGTGTCTCCAACCTCCTCAAATGCAATGACAACAACTCGAACACGAGATCGACCCAGGCAGGCTTTGTTGGGTTTTTTGGTCCTGTGGCAATTGAAGGAAGCTCTCTGTGGGATTTCTAGATTTTATTTATAATAGTATTAGATTAGTATCGGAAGCAATCTTGTTTTTTTTTTCCTACTCATCGCATGTTGTAGTTTCTGTGGTGTGGCCTTGTTGAAATCAAAAGTTCCCATGTCAACTATTTTATGAGGGCCGTCGCTTCAATAGACCGGCCTTCAGCGAAAAAACACACGATTAACCGCAAATGGACCCTTTCTTTGAAAAGTCTTTGAATGGAGCGGTTGAAGGGAATTAATTACTTCATAGACTCTGTAAGAAACGCTTTTGCAAAGCCAAAATAATCCTTGCTTCCTATGGTTTTACATTAGGTTTTGTTTGTGCGGCCGAATCTGAAGTGCAGAAGAATCCACATGCCGTCTCTGCATCCAATCAGATCATCAAAGCTGGACTCGGCCATGATTGGCCTCCCCTTGTATCTGAACAAATGCTGAAATTCTTCCAATCAGGCCAGTTCGCAGAACTGGAACTGCAAAGCCTCACCTCAGCAGCTTTGCCCCGTTTGAGTTACGGGAGATGCCGCTGCTCTGCGAGGTGTTCTTCAAATTAAATGAATTCAGAAAAGAGACTTCAAAACAAAATGAACTTTTTGTTCACGTGTGCCCGTGGTTGTCTTTGAGTCTGTCTTCGTACTGACTGTGTGGGCTGACAGCAGAAAAGTATCAAAGCACCAGTGCACATTCTATCTGTTTGAGTCATTTCACCTGGCAGGAGAATTGGCCATGGATGAAAAAAAGAGAGGAAGTGGCGGGAACACGATCAGACACCTGAGGCAAGTGGTAAAGAGGTGCATCTGTTTAATTCAGGCTCACACACACACACACACACACAGCAAAGAGGCTGGAGCACCAGGCACACACCCTGGAATCGGGCCAAAAATGCAATTCCCAAACATGCGACAGGTCTACAATTAAACAAGTCAGTGATTGTCGAGATGAAAATGTTGCGAGTGAATCCAATCTTGCTACAGCGGTTAGGGACAAAAGCTGAACAAATGACTCCTTTTGCTTGTGTAAGCTGAGCACAACTGTCTCAGTACGAATAAAGACACCAAGCGACTGCCGGCTCACAGAGGAGGAGTTATGTGTACACATCTGCACCAACTTCACCAGCTAAGCTCATGAACGACAACAAGTAACACCAACAGTTAGTCAATAAAGGGAATGTGAGAATTGATACAGCACATTTATGACCTCTCCTCCAGGAGAGCCCCCCCCCCCCCGCATTGACCAATAAAACACTGGTTATAGGATCTTCCCAACGACCCCCATATATCTCCTTATACAACTGTGCCACATCTCCCCTGCCTGCGGGCTGGGGGAGTACTTGTATTTGCGCTCAGGGAGAGAGTGTTAAGATTAAGGGCTCGGATGACGGGGGACGGCATGAATCTGTAACGGCTTTATTGCTGTGGTCAAGACTCCAAAAGGTCAGCGAGAAGCCACATTCAACACATGCCTGTGAAAAAAGGAAACAATGCCCAAACGAGTGGAGAGGATTTGTCCCATCTTACAGAGGGCCGTGGTCTTCTGTGAAGATCGTGTTTTGGAAGCGTTTCCTTTTGTTAGAACTCGGTCTCCCCCCGACCGGGGTTTCGTTTTGACATCCGTGTGGCCACTTACGACGCTTTCACGCGATCCCTGAGGAAATGAGTTCTGGGGAACAGAGAGGAGTGTTTTGTTGGAAACTGTAGCCGGGGCCACGTCTGCATATCTGACGGAGGCCGTAGTCACGCGGACCTTCCTGGATCCTATCGGGACATCTGTCTGCGATTCCTGCACAAAGGAAAAGGCAGTGAAGTCGAACTACTCCTGGCAGAGATCAAACCTCGTCGAGATTAAGAGGCCAGCTGGCCACATTCAGCGTAAGCAACTCCTCTATCATTTCTCCCGTTTGATAGACGTGTCGTCTGAAGATTGCACATAATGGAGTCATGTTTTCTGACTCGAAAGCTGAGAGAAATATCGTATCGTTCAGGCCGTTTTTCCTGCACCTCCACATCAATACCAACAAATATTCAGTGGCAGTATTCATGACAAAGCTCATTGGTTAATTGTGTCTGGCTAGATGTTTCATTAGTTTCACATGACCAGCATGTAGTTATAACCGCACCATACCGCTGATATCTACTGGTATTAACACAAAGATTCATCCGTTCTCCCCTAGAAAAACAGAAATCCTCATAAAAGGCTCGGATTTCAGGGCAGATATTTCTCTAAATCGCCCCTCTAGAGAACGCGGGAAAAGTTCTGGTCTAAGCCCCCAGTCGGTACAGATGTTCAGCCTGGAATATGTGCCAATGTGAGCTGTTTACAGATGAGATCTCACCCTCGTGAACTGCCTCCAAACACGATCAGGGACTGCTGCGGGGAGGAAAGGAGGGCTGCTTTTTTCTGAAACTGGTTTGAAGGCGGTGTGGCCTTGAACCGACGATGCCAACGGCTCGCCGACCATACAGATTGAGAGTTCGGGGGGGGGGATGTGTGTCGAAGCGAGACGGTGATTGAGACACACAGAGAGACAGAGAGAGAGAGACGCTGAGCAGATGTCAAGTCTTTTGGGGTAGCTTCAAATCAGGCGTTAACTCTTAGACAGCACGCTCAAGTACACCACTCATTAATCTCCAGAAACAAATTGCAAGTCAAGATGAAAAGGTTTTTAGGTGCGAATGCTCACCATTAAAATGGGATGGTTTACAGTTCTGACACTTTGAAGCGGTTTTAATTGTATTTTTTCCCCCTTTGCTCTCTGGGACAAAGACACTTTCACATTGGACCAACAGTTTAATATTCCACGACAGACCAGAGCGGCTTGTTTATCTTTTACGCAATCTCAAATCCAAAAATGTTTTCGGCTTTCAACCCCTCAAGGGCGAAGCGAATACTTGAGGAGGTCTCGAGCACTGGTGTGAATCATGTGTAAATCAGTGTCAAATATGCATCTCTCATTAACATGAATAATGCCCCCTTAATCTGTTTTCCCATGTTGAGACGTGTCCGTTCGGGATCTGGAAGGAGAATGACTGATTTTAAAATGCCCCGACGGACGCCGCCCCCCCCCCCTCATCCTTACCAATGCAGTAGCTGAGGATGACGGACAGGACCACAGCGATCCCCACGGCGACCAGGGCGGTGCACTTCCAGGAGCAGTGCTTAGGTGACTTCTTGAACTTGAAGGCCCCTCTGGACAGAGTGTTTCTGGGCAACGGACGCGCCGGTGTGGAGTAAACCGTCCCCGTCGCCATGGTGTAACCGGGGGCCGCCGCGCCGAAGAAAGGGGTTGTTCCGGTGCCTGTCTTAAAAAGGAAGTGCCTGCAGAAGATGGGGGGGGGGGAGAAAATGTTCTTGAGCTGGACAAACGATCCCCTACATGTGTCACAAAGGCTCCAAGCAAGTCAAAATCAAAACGGTCATGAAACCAAAGAAAACCCAACAATACCTGTGAGTCTCCCACTGCAATAGAAACTGGGATGAATTATAATATTCAGTTTATTCCTGACATTGGAAGAGGTGAACAAAAAGTACCTCATAAAAACAATCATCTCCCACTTGCCCTTTTACAACTGGGCCTTTGCTAATAGCCCATTATACCTGGGGTAATTAAGAGGGTTTAATCAAATGCACTAGAGTGATGGTCCTATTAACTTATAAACCCCCACATGAAAAGCTCTTAAGTAAATGAATTAAGCCTTGTTGCCACTCTTGCCACTGCTTAAAGATTAATACCCAAATGCCTCCAGGCTTATGGGGCCAACCGGAGCAATTGGACAGATTGACCATGATTCTAAATGCTTCTGCATTTCAGAACTGCACCATTTCATGCGTGGCACTTTGTCCCATTTCGATAAAAGATAAAACTGGTCGAGTAATATTTAACAGCAAGATTACAATTAATCATTGTTCAGATTCAAAACCGTTATGTCCTGATTGATAATACTTACAAACCTTGCAGACTTATAAAACAATTGAATGAAGTATTTGTACCGACCTACCGACCGAACTACCCATCAATATGTTTGTTCACCCGCAACAGTTGTGGTTAAAGTGCCTTGCTAAGGGGCGCCTCAGTGTGATAAACGTGGGAACAAGAGCTACATTTTACATGCATCTTACATAACGTTTAAAAGCCTATAGATTGCAGGAGGAACGCGTTGCCATGGCAGCCGCCGATTTAAATAGAGCTTATAAAGCATCAATTATTCGTGCAGCATCTGGGAAGTCCCTGAGTTTTGTATAGGCTTTTTAATCCCAACTGTGAATCCGTATTACAAGAGCCTGAGAAGCGCTAATTAGGCGCTTAATCTGAAGATGAGCCTGAAATCCGATGTAGTGGCACTTACTAATGACGGTTTTCCCGATTACTTGGTAGGAAAGGGGGTTCAACTAAACTGTTTCATTAACTAAAATGTTCTTAATGTTGACTCTCCAAAGATTTGTGGTCCAAAAACGTACTGAGGGAATTCACTATTTAGATTTTTCTTAAACTGTTTCATCAGGTTTGTTTGTCATAAACTCCACAATGCATTGCTCATATCTGTGCCTTGCTGCTGATATATGAACCACTCTATCTCCTGTGAGGATCTCTCAGATCCAAAACCTGCTTTGATCAATGCTTGTCTAAAAAGAACAAATGTCAGGTTTGGATTGTCTGGCTTCTTGATGCCCTGATTGACACGTGCTGTCATGGGCAGGTTCCATTTAAAGGTCACAGCGTGTCCCTGCTGGAATGACAATGCTCAGGGCGCCTGCAAAACCCGGGACAGGTTCGGATTCTTCAATCTGGAACAATCTGCAGTGTTGCTGCAGCAGACACAGACAGTCATACACGCTGCGGTATGAAATGAGGTCAGACAGTGTGAAGTCAGACAGTGTTGAGAGCAAGTGGATGCAACCCGATGATGTAGACGGAAAGAGATGCGATCCTGGGAGTTCATCTTTATTAAAGGGATGTTACTCTCGCTACTCTCTGCAAGTTGCAAAGATGATGCAAAGACAGTTTTGCCCGTAAATAAAATATCTGAAATCTACTGAGGCTCTTATCTAAAGGGTTCTTGGGCACTCAAAAGTCGAAAACACCTGAACTACAAGCATCGATGGCATGTCCATTGCACATCTTTAGCACGGTCACATGCACAGGGCAACGACGCTGATGATGAATATGCAAAATAAAAACAGATGTAAACAAGTTGTGGGATACCTTATTTGCAAAATGTAGTTGATTGAACCATCCAAGTGCACATATCATTACTGGAGACATATGGCACGCTGCGGGTGGGTTACAAACCAGAGAGTCAGCCATATTTCAGTCATTTATATCCCTTACGCTTTGCACGCTGTCAGAATCTGTGTGTACCAGCATCAATGGGACAAATTCCCCTGCTGGACATTTATTGCACTCGCCGTTTAATGTAATTCTGTTTTTTTTTTCTTTCTACGCAGCAGAGTGAAGGGGTCTAAAGATGAAATGCTGTTGGACATGATTAACAAACAGCGGACCGGTGTAAATGTCCGCCGGACGACCGGCTAATTGATTACAGCCAGTGTGATAGAACACGGCACATTACTATGCTAATCCAGCCAGCCCCAGTGATAGCAATGTGGCGCCTTCTTTGAGCGAGCGAGAGGGAAGAGAAGAGCAAAAGAGACAATGGAGAGAGTGTGAGGGACAGCGAGAGGGAAAGCGAGCAAATGAATGGAACGGAGCGTCAGCGCCGTCGCAGTGCGTGCACGCCTGTCTGTGCCATTGAGGAGCCGGTAGCACAAAAAAAGCAGCAGCCGGCCCGGCCTCCTCTGCGCTCACGACATCGCTTGTCATCGGGGGTGACATTTGAAAACGTCCTCGCAGAGGACAAAAAGACACAACAAGAGAGTGGGGTGGATTTGTCTGCGGCTAAGCTCCAGCTGGAGGGGCGAGGGAGCGCGGCGGAAACAACGCGGAGCGAAGCCCCCGGAATGTGTAATCTGCCTATTAGCTGCTGTTCTGTGTTAGCGTTAGCATTTCAAGGTGAGAGCTGGAATAATGAGGTTGCTTCAAATCCGCGGTCAGATACTAAAGGAAAAAAGAAGAAGAAACAAAAAAAAAAAAACGGGGCTACAGATGTTGCCGGGCGTCTCGGCGACTCGTTTTTTCCCGCTCGGCGCTGTCGCCCTCCTCCAGATCACCACCTGCCCTCTCAGCAGGGGGGGGGGGGGGGCTGTTAGCAAGTGCTATTCTGGTACCGCTAGCTCCGCAACGGTATTTGTGTGGCGGAAAGCTTGGCTGTAGCGTCTTGCCCACGAATGTCAGCGTGGGGCCATTTTGAGACGCTGGGATTGTTTGCGGATGGAAAGTATCACTGTATGTTTAACAAGTTTGATAAGGTTTTGCGTAAGAAGAGCTAAGCTCTAATATTCACACACGTGAGACTCCGGCCTCCGGAGTAAGTCGACATGTATTTAGCAAACGTGTTGCATGAATAACTTTTCATATGACTCATTATTCATCCCGTGTTTATTTTGTCTTTGTCTTTTGCACCAGATGGTAAAATTCATCTGGACCAGATGCACCTTCCAGTAGCCTTGATATTGCAGGACCTTTGAAATAACACAGCAATGTGTGCTTGGCTCTAAAAACGTTGGCAAAATGAATGGAAATAAAAAACACAGAAGAAAAATAAAAAAAAAACGCACTAGCACTTTATCCACAGGTCATCATTTCCTCCCCTTTCTATTCCCAAAGGCCCGCTGGTTGCTCGCTTACACATGACTAATCCGTCCCGTTGCCACCCCGACACCGTGGCTGTGAAGCATGAGGAATTTGTGCATCGCACACAAACAGCCGCACACACACACACACACACACACTAACCGAATCCTGCTTGGATTACATCCGCTATTCTTTTTTTGCCCCCCGAGAACAATCCTAACACGTTCTCCATCAGGGAAATTGTGCCGTCCGCGGGACACAGTGCCACACGACGCTCATGGAGCCGGGACGTAATTTCATTTCACAAAAGGGGTCCCTTGACACGTGAATCCAACCGGGATTGACAGCACATTTATAACTGCGACATGCAAAGACTCTGAAGATGGTGGATGTCATAACGACTGCTCTGGCTGAATCTCATTGGACGCGAGTGACAAAAGGAAAACTCAAGTGGGCTCCAAAGGACGTACACATGGAAGAGCAGACCAGCGGAGCACTTATAGATCTCACAGATTGCATCGTAAAGGCGTCACAAATACTAATTTCACACATACTCGTGTCTTCTACTGGAAACAATCATTAAGTACTGCTCAGGAATAATTATCATATATCTGTAATAGTCTCTAGAGGGACATGGCAGTTCATTTTTTAATGAAATTCGATGGAATAATTGAAAATATCTAGAAAAGCATTTCGGTGAAGCAAAGTGCTTAGCGAGGAGAACCCGAGGGGTTCAGTGTGAGTACTCTGCATACTTTAGAGATCGGAACGTCTCCTGTGCACTTTAGAATTCCAACGAACAGCAAGCGTTATCGCTGCTCTGTTACCAACTAATTGAGCCCTTTAAATGAAGTGGTCCACGTAGGACTAAAGCAGGACAAAAGCAGAAGAGAGTGAATTCACTGAATTATCTCAATTGGAACATTTCTCATAGCAGGACTTCTTCTTCTCCAGCATGTTCACTTATAAATGCTCTCTTTTTAAACGTTTAAATCTTTTGTTATCTTTGCCAGAAGATTATGGGTTGAGTCCGTTCGTCCATCTTGCATTCTGACCCATCATCTGAATATTTGTCCTGCTCATTCGAGGTTGCAGTTATTCACACATTAACTTGTCAACATTTGTGATGTAGGCTGTAACTATCGCTTGGCCAGCGACGGCGGATGCGACGCAGAGGGAGGCTAGCTAGTTAGCCGTTAGCAAGCCGGAGGGCAGCACCGTCCTGGTGTTGCTGTTCTTCAGAGAGTTAACAGCAAACCAAAGCTGCAAACAACACGAGGTTTGTTTTCTTTTTTCAATTTCCTGAGTCGTAAAAATGATTTCACGTCGTATTTTTAAACTGCTAAAGAAAGTGAGCCAAAATGCAACTGCGCGTCTGACAGTGTGATCACAGCTCATAATAATGAGCCGTAGTTACAGTAGAAACTGAGTGCAGCACTTGACTCATTTCAAACAACACCGAAAGCTATTCAAGGTAAAAGCTAGCAGTCAAATAAGCACTTGTGCTTTGAAGACCAGCCCGTCGGCGGGGGGGGGGGGGGGAGGTTACACACACATAATTCATTACTGCTAATTGCTGTAAAAGTAGCTGACGCTGGCAAATACATGCTTTATTTTCAAGGAGGTCTTGTGGAAGGAAATTTATTAAACAAGAGTATTACAATGTGATTTATACTTGACTTTATGTTTAATCAACCGTCTTGTATAGAATAATTTACTGCCTGCACGTGTGACCCCATTTACTGAGAAATATAATCAATGTCGAGGTTTGAGGAGAGACTCAGATTCCTGCCACGGCGGAGGCCACCTACGTACATGCTGTGCCGGGCCCCCCACCCCAAGCCCAAGCCCAAACCCCCCTGCAGGCATCCTAATAAATACTTTCTGAAGCTTCTGTTTACATTTCCCAACCCGGTGGTTTTCACGACGCGGTGAAGCCGTGTCTTCCCTCTTGGCCCGGTTGGCGCCCCCCCACTGACAAGCACTTGATTTAGGCTCCACTGTGCTGATAGTGATTTATGCCTCCGCTGATGATAGGTGTGCACATATTGTTTTGTCGATAAGACCGGGACGGCTCCAAGGTCATCGCGCGGCTGGCGTTCAATCACTGCGTTCCGCCCCAGAAAGTGAAACTGTCGCAGCGCGTCGCCTTCGATTCGGTCGGACCATCAAGAGGTCGTTGCTCCGCGCCGCCACGGACACACACTTCAAAGTTTACACCGGCGCCTCGGAAAGGGGGGAACGTGGTGGCAGGGAAATAAGGCTGGGATCCAATCATCTACTCAAGGCCGTCTCTGAGCCGGAGCGCAGTGAACCACACTTCATTAGCCAGGATGGTTTGAGCTCCCTGATTAAGACGAATGTAATGTATGTTTCAAGAGGGAAAACTTGGCGGCGGCTCTTTGACAAAGTAGTGTCTTGCGCAGCTATTTTTTGAGGTGGCGCACAATCCCCTTTACGGATTTAACCTTGGTAAATCGGAGCCTCTCTGATCTGAACCGGCGAGCGCTCCGATATCCCCATAATTCCCTCTAATCAGGCACTGTGCTGCTGAGTGTCGGCCTATCTAATTAGGTGATAATCGTGGGAGCACACAAACAGCAAAAAGACACTTGACAACATTATTCTCAACCGACGAGAGAAAACATGGAACTCAGCAGGAGGGACATTATGCCACGCACAATTTGTGTCATGGTACTTTAAGCCTGATGAGGTGTAGAACTTAAAATGGGTTTAAACTTAAGTAGCCAAAATCATGGAGAGAATTATGATTTTATTATTCACTTACTCTCAGAGGAGTCGCACAAAAACAATAATAAAATCAAACCAGTGGGTTCATGAGTGGATGAAGTCTACCACAAGACTCAGACGCAGTGTGGACGCATTTTAAGTAAAATATACTCGGTTTTGTTTTCGACTGCAGCTCAACACCTGGATGTCCCCCCCGCTGTGGGCCTTTGTGCGTCACCCACCTGCTCTCCAGGGCCACATTGCTGCCCAGGACCCAGCTGTCCTGCAGCTGGACGCATTCCGCCGTACTGTGCAAGTCGGTCGCCAGGCCGGCTGCGGGCGGCGGGCTCGGGCTCCTCTGATTGGCCAGTGAGCTCCGGCTCAGGGACGTGATGGACGGGTGGTGCTTGTGTGGGGGCGGGGCGGGCGGGAGAGGAGGCGGGCCTTGCTGACTGGAGAGATGGTCACCTGGATTGACGGGAGAGAGACATCAGCGCGTCAGGTTGCGGGTTCTTACTCTGTTTTGCAGATTGGACAGAACAAACAGAGAGCAGATGGGCGACGCTGTGCATCTGGTTGTGGTTGAAATGCACTTATTGTAAGTCGCTCTGGACAAAAGCGTCAGCTAAATGACATGTAATGTAATGTGTAATCTGCCTCGTGTGTACCATATGCATACAGCATACAGCCACTTAACAGACCCACAAAAGTAAATACAACCGAGAGCAAGACATTAAGATGAGATGCAACCGCTGCAGAAAGCAGGGAAATAAGAGCTGCTTTTATGGGGACACACACATAATAATTGTCGCCAAAACGCCACACGGCTGACAGTTGGCTTCTCTTAAACAGAAGGTCACTTAGGGAGGCAGCTGTTCTTTTATGGGCGCTTAACGCAATGTTTCACGTTTGATTACAGCCAGAGAAGACTCTCAAATAACTAATGACCAGAACATCCATTAGAGCTCTGAGAGAACAGGTTTTCCAATTTCACACAAAGCTGTGTAATTGGCCCCCAGAATGGCATGTGGTGATTATCTATCCATCTTCCCTGTTTAAAAGGTAAAAACCCACAGTGCTGACAATTGTGATTTGCTCCAATAAGCCCCAAATGGGTATCGTCTTTCTTGCCTTACAGTGGCCCGGTGAAGAGAAAGCTGGGAATTGTGTCTTTTAAGAGCTGTTGTTTTTTTGCATTGACAGCATAGTTTTATATAAGGCCTCAAGGAGCACATTTCATAGCACACCAGCGCCGTGCGTTTCAGCGGTTTGTTTGATTTAACCTTTTGCTTTGTCAACAATGCATCACAACCGGCCCCGCGCTGCAACAACGCAGCAATCCTTACGTGCTCCTGCTTCTCATTGCGTCCTTCTGTGCTTTTAAGTAAGCCGTTCAATTCAGACAATCAAGCCTTACATTCGCTTCCGCAGAGCAAATAAGAAACCTGTCCGCCATTCAGAGCTTGGAAATCATTTCCACCGCTTCGGGGGTAAAAATCCTTTCGGCTATTTCAGGCACACTGTAGATTATTTCTCACATTAAACCGAAAAGAATACAGAATATAGGCTGAGGAAGATCGTAATGAGAATGATTATAGGGAGTAACTCAAACAGCCGACAGTTGAAGCTGTAATAAAGCAATATTGATAACTGGTAGGAGCAGGTTGTACCAATCATTTTCTATGGGTTTATTTCTTATTCACTAAAGAATAGATTTTTGGTTTCATCTGTAACGAAACAGACAGGAAGACAGACTAACAGTGAAAGACGAATTGAGTGGAGCAGAATCAGGTGAGACAAGAGTGCACCGTGGAGGCCAATCGAATATTAATTGATATCTGATTAGACTTTGATCAAACCCAATGAAATATGATCCCCCCCCTCATCAGGACACATCACTTCGTTTAAAGGCGGTTTCTTCTGAAATTAACCGTGACGCACCACATTTGGAAAATCCGCAGCGGCCATGACATACTGAGGAGTACAAGACATGCTGCTGATCCTCAGGCTGCAGGGCAAGTCGAAGGTGCAAAGTGGGATAATAGAAATATGAGGAACATCCACCAACAGCGGCCGCTTCTAGTTCACCTCTGGGCCTCGTTCCATCGCATGAGCCCACACCTGCCAACAGCTTCTCTCTGCCAGAAGCATTTCTCACACGCCAGCGCCGCGGTTCAATGTCATGGGGGAGGACGGGGGGGTTAAGGAGGACGTACAATCCGATGGGCTCTGAGAAACAGACAATGATGTCACGCGGCAGTAAATGGAACGTTGATAGGCAGGAAGGATCAGTTTTAGAACTCTCTTCATTATCACAGAAGAGAAAAGAGCTCGGGACACTTTCTATATGGCTGCAGGCCATAATCAGCATGCTTACAATGTGATTATAGAACTGTATAATTCTACACTATAATGCTTTATAACAGTAGCATGACATAACATTTAATAATGACTACTAAGGTCAAGCATTATAATACGTCATGATCGCTGGTCATTGGCAGACATGCGTTTGCATCATAGTGTATTATAATCCCCATTGTTGTAACGCAGTGCATTATTTTCCATGAATTAGAAAAAAATTAAGATAACAATACATATTATTTGAAAAATAATCATAAATGTATTTAAACCAAAGAAAGACCACTTGAGAGTAACTAATGATTGCATTGTATTATCTCAATGGGAATTATAATACTGAAATAAAAAATGCATGCTATTTCATGGCGATTGGATTAAAGCATTTTGCATTCGTAGTGTGCAAGTGTGTCCAATTCGAAATGTGAAGCGCTAACAGCAGATTGTAATACAGTATAAGTAGGTTTATTACGGGTTATGGACGTGGCCATCATACAAAGTGCTCCTGCAGGGAAAATGTCACATTGATGTCATTGAATTAAATTCCATATCAGGAGAATAAACTACAGAATCGACTTGAACACAAAGAGCACTTCTCTATTTTTAGGAATCAAACAGCTGCCTTTGTTGCCGTGCACAAACATCTTCTCTTAATAACACCCACACGTGAAACAATCGACAGTCGATGGCGGTAAACAATCCGCCTTTTCTTTGTGCATAACAGAGACACAGGACAGATATCGCACACATCAGTATCCATTTGTCTTGTCATGTCTGCGCATTTATCTAGTGGCATTTAGTCCAAACCGACATCTTGATTGGCCTCGTTAATCTGCACTGCTTGACAGTCTGAAAACTCAATTTTGTGTACAGTACCAGCCAACATATTAGAGTACTTGCGGTTCAGGTGCGTTATGGGGGATGTGAATCGCGCCGGCACAGCAGGCGGGAGATGAGTTTCAACGAGTCCAAGCGCTCTCACTATCGGGACTTTATGTTGAATGATTTTATGATGAATCAACGTGTAAAAAGAGACGCCTGAAGCGCAACAGGAAATAAACCTTTTTTTTCCTCCTCTTCTTCTTGGTGAAAGCACATGCTGAGCACAACAAAAAAACACAAAATCCCCCAAACCTTCAAAGCGGTAGGATTGGACATGCAGAAAATCGGACCGCATAATCCCACAATGTACTAAGGGAAGTGAATTAACTCTGCTGTGTACGTACTCTGCAAAATGCACACAAAGCCTGTGGGGGAAAATGAGGTCCTCCACCTGAAATGCTGCTCTTGAAGTAGCCCGAAAACGTTGGAGTGAAACACTGACACCGTTTCGTCGTTGAGCGAAGCTAAAGCAGAAAAACGTAAACTACTGAAATACAAATCTGACCGTATGGTATTTTACCAAGGGAAATATTTTGGTCTCAATCCTCGGAGGTCCCAGTGAAACGGACAATATGGCCTCTGACGCTTCTGCACTGGTGAGTATTCCCCACTGAGAAGGACTTTAGTCAAATGGATGGAGAGGGATTTAAATCAAATCATTCCTATTTGATTGGACCGCTAAAAAAGGGGGCCGGCTTAAAATGAAGCGCATCGGTTTTAGTGTTTTCAAACACTATTTTCAAAAAACTATCGTGCCTATCAAAAATACTCCGACCTTTAGTAATGGTATCAGCTGTGGGAACAGATTTAAAATGGCTCCTCCGTCACCTTACAGAAGAAGAAACACACCCACACACACAGAAAGGTTACTGGTGGTTAACTCATGTTGAGTAAAACAGTAATACTGAACACCAACTACATCTTTTATACATCTCCATCTGAAACTTCAGTCCGTGTGGATTTTAAGTGATTAATTATGCAAAATAAAATCTTAGGGAAAAGGCCGCTCTCATTCCTTAGATCTTTATTTATGTGAGATGGAGATCAAATGCTGCAACGGTTGCTTAAAAAGGAGCCTTGTTGAGGAGTTATCAGCGAAACCAATCAAGAGTTGTTGTCAGGAGTCTAGATTTGAATACTGGAGTGAACATTTTCTAAATGTGGCACCAGCCGTGCGTTGGTTCAACGTGCATTCTGTGTGTTTTAAAGCCACGGGGGCCAAGCGGGCCACAATATGGGCTTCTTGGCACCCCAGCACTTTGAATTAGACCCACTGACGTGCGCATGCTGGATTGTGTGTTTTTTAGAAGATTAAGCATACTAAACAATGGACCTTTAAGAAAGCTTGGCATTGTCTTCTGTCGGGGCACAGAGGGAATTAAGCTGGCCTTTAAAGTGCAGGCTCGCCAACTGAGAAGGCAGATGAAACAGCTGTGTGCTTCATGGGCTTTGGCTTTGAAATCGGATCAAGACGGATGCCTCTTTTGCATAATTCCTCAACGTCATCTTATCGTCGGATCCATCGGCAACACGCTGAAAGAGTCACAAAGTACCTTTGTGATAAATATTGCATGCCGGGGCTGAAATGACGGACTCATTCCTTCCTTAATGATGCCCGCAGTGTCCATCCAACGACGGCGTTTTGCTTCAGCTGAACGTGATGCGTTCGCTTTTAGAGGTTTATAGTCTCGACGTCGAGTTCCATGAGCAGTATGTTGTATACTTGGTTTATTAATTGTGTATTTGGTGAATAACTGTCTGAGGCTCTCACTGTGTTGTTCACAAACATGTTGTTGTTACTTCTTGATACTCTCCCCGTTCTGAAAAGCTCTTTTCTGAAGCATTGACGAGCCTCGAGTACTGCGCATTATGTCCCAACACAGTCTGAAGACAATTAAACGCCGTTTTTCACTCTCTAAGCTTTGCAAGCTTGGTGAAAGCCTTTTTATATTCATTGTGTAAGTAATGCAAAAGTACTTGTGCCATTTTACTCTCCATTAAGAGACCGATTGAACTGCTAATGGCATCGAAAGGGCGTTTGCTTTGACCGGCTTGCCCTTCGCCGACATGCGAACGCGTGCACCAAAGGAATCAACACAGGGCACCGAACTGTCAATCACAGCCGATCGCTTGTATTTTTATTGAAGAGTCTTAATCAACAAATGCTTGGCAAAGTTTGATTTTCAGACAACACATGATAAAACAAAAGAGGGACATCAGGCAGAATCCCT